AGCCCAATAAGAAGAAAACACAACTTTTTTTTTAGAGAACTATCTGAAAGGCTTGGTTTGTTAAGAGATTGTGGTCTTGTGTTAGAGAAAAGACAGTGTTCAAAGCTAACCTGGATCCTAAGTAGCAGTGTTCATATGGAGACAGAGTAACCGGATATTTTAGATGCTGAGAGGAAATACTAAATTTTGGATGCTCCTTTAACCGTAAACTGTTTTCTGCCCATATTTAACATTTGTTCAAAAAAAAGTATCTTGGGGCTGGAGAGATAGCTCAGCCGGTAAGAGCATTGGCTGCTCTTGCATACCCATACACATAAAATACAAATAAATAAATATATGTATTTAAAAAAATACATTTTCGGGGCTGGAGAGATGGCTCAGCAGTTAAGAACACTGACTGTTCTTGCAGAAGACCCAGGTTTGAATCCCTGCACCCACATGGCAGCTAACAACTGTCCGTAACTCCTGATCTGTAACTCCAATTCCAGGGTCCAACAACCTCTTCTGCATGACACACATGCACTTACATACATGTAGACAATACACGCATACACATAAAAAATACATTCTCTCTTTCTTTCTCCCTTTCTTTCTTTCTTTCTTTCTTTCTTTCTTTCTTTCTTCATTTCTTCCTTTCTTTCTTGACAGAGTCTCACTGTGTAACCCTGCCTGGTCTTGAATGCACAATGTAGACTAGACTGGCTTTGAATTCACAGAGATCCACTGCTTGCTATGTAGACCAGGCTGCCCTCACAGAGATCCACCTGCCTAAAGGTGTGTGCCACCATGCCCTAAAAAAATACATTTTCTTAAAGAAATAAATGCAGTCAGAGCAAAACTCTTGAGTAAATTTCTGGGTATTTGTTTAAAAGACAGACCAGGATTTCTAATGAACAGTCATGATTCTTGAGAACTTTAGCAATAGTTTCCAAAGTTGCAGGGCTTTTAAAAGTTCAGCAGAGACTTGAAGGTTCTTTGTTTCTTGCATCGTCAACTCCATTTCTAAGGAACTTTTGATTTTGGTAGAGGTTCTTTTTTTTAATTATTAAAAATTTATTTAATGTGTGTATGTGTGGGTGGTTGGTTGGGAGCACATGTATGATCAGTATGTGTGTAGAGATCAGAGTACAAGTTTCAGGATTTAGCTCTCTCTTTCCACACTGTGGGTCTTGAGGATAGATCTCAGATTGTCAGGCTTGGGGACTGGCATCTTTACCTGCTTAGCCCTCTCTCCAGCCCTGGTGGAAGGTCCGGAAAGGAGGTGAGAAGTGACCTTGGCAGAGGCTCTATGGGGATATGAGCTGTTTCTAAGAGCTTTGGCAGGAAATGTTTTTGAATAAGGAGGTATTAAGCTTTTAAAAATTTAAAATCTCATAGAGTTAAGGTACTGGAATTGCAGCAGTTTATATGGACTGCTTATCTAGTCAGGGTCCCCGATAATTTAATAGTAACTAATACTTGATTTTTATTTTTCTACTACAGGTGCAGGTTATCATTCTGAATCCAAAGCCAAGGAATATAAACATGTATGCAAACGAGCTTGTCGGAAGGTATGAGCAGAATATATGCAATGCTTGTGATTTGGGGCATAAAACAACTTTACCTTGAGATCCAGAGTTTTGAAGCTTCACTTATGTGGAAGTCTGATTGGCCCCCAAAGTTACTTGCTGTTTTGTGTGGGCCTTATTTAATTCTCATTTTGCTTTGTTCTATATTTTTAGTTATCTGAATGATGCTTAGCTTGTTTTTCTCCTTTGCCAGATTGAAGTCTGTAATTTTGTAATTAAGGGCACATAATCATATCCTTTTGAATGTTTTCCAAGGGACTGAACTCTCTGGAAGGGTAGGAAAACTGCTCTTCTAGAAAAGGCAAGTTGTCTTTTCTTGAAAGGGGGAAAATCATTTAAAAAAAGAAAGATGCTTTTCTCAGACTTTGTGGTACTTGACCCTTCTGCTTCTCATTGTGTAGGGTAGCAAACACATGGTTGATCCTGAGTGTCATTCTGCATTTCTGTTAATTGTTGCTTTGTTCACCTTTGACTTTTGAGGTTTGCTGAATTGCTCAATACTTAATATCTGGGCAGGAGTGGGCTCAGAAGAAATACTCTTTGTTTTTATTTTGATCCCCAATTGTGTAGTCAAACCTTTCATTATTTTTTATGCAAATAGAATGTTAATTGAGTACTGCCTTAGGTAAATATGGGTCTTTTTCCTTTTCTTTATATTTGCATACTTTTTATAAGAAAGATAAAAGATTAACAATCCAGGCTTTTTGTTTTGCTT